TCCTCTATTTCTGGGTCCCCAGAGGGGCGGAGGGTTGTGGACGATCCAAGTGCGTATCACACTCACCCTCCTCTCTCGCCAGTGAGCAGCAGTGGGCGGATCGGGAGGACGAACCAACGGACTACCCACGCACCCTCTGCTCGAACGCAGGTCAGTGTTGCACACACCCAGACCCCGCCTCGGACCGGCTACGAGTCGCCCGGGCTGGGTCCCTGCGTTCTTCCGCGCTGCCCCACTGAGGGTAGGCCTGTAGTTCCGTTGATGCCACTTGCGCATCTGGTGGTTAAGGAAGTAGATAGGGACGCGCCCGTCTACATTCCCTCCACCGGATCCATATGCGAAACCCACGAGCACAGCCGCCGCTCCGCCTCGGCGAAGGGCGGGCCGGCACTGCGAGGAACGCTAGTGAAGGCTCTCTCCTCAAAGAGAGCCCTCCCAAGCAGACAGCAAACAAACTGTGTGCATCCCCACCCGTAAAGTAACGCGGGCAGGGAGGAACACACAGCCTGAACGCTGCCTGCCCTCGCTTTAGGTGTCTGGTTTTGTCTTGTTTTTAGATTCGCTTTATTATAATGCTGAAAACTGTAAAAAAAAAAAAAAAAAAAAACTGCAGACGGCAGAGAAGAGAGCAAAAGAAAAAGAGTTTCTGAGAATCTCTGGAGGATATCACACAGATGCTGAACCTTTGCCAATTACACGATGAAATATGAGGCCGCTTTATCTTTCACGTTGGTCTGTGAGTCCACAGTCTGTCATTACCGTTTTCCTCAGACAGGCTGAAAATAAAATGAATCACACTGGCCAACCTACGAAACCCACAAAGACATGCTCACATTCTTGGTCTCATCTTTACAACCCAGCATCTGAAAGATTTTAAAAGGGGGAAACCTGGTTTTGGTTTCCTAAATTAATGTATTCCAAATGAGCATGCCGCTTTACATTTTGACAAAACATAGAGAGTATCCCTATCAAAACAACAATTACAAAACCAAGTTTAAAATATGGAATACAAAATACTAGCTGTTGCTGATGGGCCATTGGCTTGTTGCTTCAAAAGAAAACTGGAGCTGCCAAGAGCACTATACACAGAGCAAATATTTACTATGATTATATGCCTGCAAAGATGGCAAACAATGAATTACTATCAACATATTTACACCAAAATGTAAAAAAAAAAAAGAATAAAAAAGAAATATCACTTTTCATATCAAGAAACCAATCTAGAGACTCCCGATATAACAAAGACTAAATTTCATTGTACAATCACACATTTTATAGCATTATGCTAAACTAGTGCTAACTCAATTGCTCTATTAACAACTTTACATCCTTTGCCATGTCTCTAAAGCCCCGTTCACACCAAGAACTATAACTATAAAGATAACTATAAAGATAACGATATTATCGTCCACACCAGCAAACGATATCGTCGTCGTTCCTCTGTATCGTTATCGTTATAGTTGTGGTGTGAACTATGCTATTCTTTAATATTGAGAACGATTTTTAGAACTATATCTTTATCGTTATCTTTATAGTTATTGTGCTTGGTGTGAACGGGCCTTAACTGTGCTACTGTATTGTCTGCCAGAGAGATATTTGTTTAATGGTGGTTACACTCTATAGAATCAATTGAATCAACCAAAGATGAAAAATAAAATTTAGAAATAAATCTTAAAATGTAGAGGATATTATCATTATTAGGAAATTTATGTCCTGGGATCCCCTGCAGTACCCAAAGAAAGAACCAATTCTAAACTGCCTGAATTGATTTGTCAGTAATTCTAGCCTTATTCCTGCACAAACCTATGGAGGTTTATAACATATTTGAATAATGCACGCCTGTGATCTTCAATGGCTGTCTGAGAATGATGTGTACTTTGACCCAATCTCTAATAGACCAATTTCAGTGTTTGCAAACAGTGATGACGTTTTTTGTGGGCGGAGCCTATCTGGTGGCAGAAAATGACAGTTTTAATGTAGCAGTCTATTCAAGCCATGGAATAAAATAATAAAAAAAAATATTTTGAGTTTATATTTCAAAATTCTGACTTTTTTCTTGCAATTCCGAGATTATATCTCACAATTCTGGTAAGAAAAATCAACTCG